AATATATTGTGGTTGACAGTATGACTAAAGTTGCTTGTGTGTACACGCAGCCCATTGTTTATACCAGATTGGTGCTACTGCTGCTGCTGAGCACAGTAATATTTTATCAACTCTACAGTTACCAGATGCGCCGGTAGCACAGCGGTAGAATGCTCAACAATCACACCTGTGGTCCGATGATCGATCTTCGGCCGACGAACTCCTTTACCTCTTTAAGTCGGTAATAGGACTGGTAAAAAGGGAAGGTTGGGTATGAAGCTAGCAACCGCATCTCGTAAAAATAAACACGACTGCTACAGAAACTTCAAGTCTCTAGCCTGAAGCCTGAAGGTAAACAAAAAACGGTTCCAGATCAAAAACATTTAAACCTTTTGCTAAGGATACAGAATTCTAGCTCATTCAGTTGAAATTCAGTAAAATTATATATATATATTTTCCCCAATCGAACCCCTCTTTTGTACTCATAAAATCTGTATTTCTGCTAGCGAATAAATAATTTTTAACATAAGACGACAGATGTTCAGTTAAATCTAATTAATCTTAAGCCCTAATGAAGTGAGCTACATAGACATCAAAATAATAACAGCTTCTTTGAGAAACGTAGAATGCATATATATGCTCATATTCTCCCATTTTTCCCCTCTCCTTTTTACTTTCTTTTCCCTGATATTATCATTAATTTCAACTCAGACAGGATGAAAACACTTTGAGATTTACTTTGAAAAAATAAAATAAAATTCATGATTCATAAAAGATTGTAGACATAGGAGGAAAAGAGGCTGAAGACAATACAAATACAAATAACTTATTCAAAGGTGGTAATTATAATCGAAACAAACGAGGAGAATTCACACCCATTCTCCTTTGTATTCTTCCTCTTATAATTATTATAGAATGACTGACTACTCATTCAAGTGTTTAATTTAAATCTGTCACTAATCAAAAAAATGAGTAGAGTGTTAGAAAAAAGACGAGTTATCACATTAAAGAAACTAAATATCTTCAAGTATATTCTCATATTACATACTACCTACATACAATTAGGTAATCAGCCTTTATTATGCATAATTGTAACAAAGTGTTTTTTTTAATAAATACATCTGTTGGATTACAAAAGACTTTTTAAGAAACGAATAACACGATATCTGGTTAGCACTAATTGGATAAACTTGGGTTTGTCTTTGTTTTTCAGTTTTGAGCTAAACAGGGATTATATTTCCTCCGAGTTTGTCTGATTCTTTCTATTAAAAAAAATCAGAACACAGCATGAGGACAAGAGAAGTGTTATGTCATCTATAGAAATGCTTAAAGTATAGAGAACGAAAAATAAAGGGATGATATTTTAGAATGGATTATATAAGACAACCTATCATTAGACCTTTAGTCTAGTCGAATTACTTTTAGCTTCAATTTCATCAAAAGGATATCATATAGTATTATACACTGAGTTGTATTCAGTCTAGTCTCGCTTAAGGGAATTCATTAATTCTAAACAATTGGTGTTTTTATTCCCTTTAGTCTTGAGTGAAGCAAAGGTCTCAAAGCTTTGACGTTTCAGTAGTGGGGATGTTTCTATATGGGGTAAGATTGGCAGCTACGTACCCGACCTTTCACCTTTTGCGGTTAGCAAATTAGGTGGGTTAAAGGAGTGATGCGGTAAGGAGTCGGACTTGGATTATTTGATGTGTCATTGGCAAGCAATCTACCCGTGAGCCACCAAGGCCCAGTTTCATATATATACACATAATTGAGTTGTTTGTGATGTAGTTGTAAAGAACAAGTGGCGTTTCTAAGGTGCTATATTGTAGACTATGGCTTTTATCCTGCTCTCTACTATTCTCATCAGGGTAAAATGATGTAGTGTCACTAATTAGTTATGACTTTCAGTCTATAGACAATGTACAAAAAAGTAGCAGTCACATAAAGTATCTTTTAATAAATTCACTCGGTTTGTGAAATATTTCCTGTGATACTTCAATATATAGATTTGACTGTTTTCGTGTAGTTGTGTTCTTTGACCTCGGTGGTTTGGTAACTGAGAAGCTTTCACTATGTTAGTAGATGAAATTGTCTGCACCAACAGATTTCATTTTGAACCAAGAATCACTACAAAGTTATTTTGGTTTTATTATGCTACTGACCCACTTTTTATAAAAAACTTAAACTGTGAATATTATTCTTTTGCTCATTGGTATTTTTACTCTTATTGAATGTTCTAAAGTTCTGCTGAGAAGTTACGATAATCAGCAGGTTGTAGAAAATGTGCACTGATGACATTGTCTGCCAGCAGCACTATTTATGAGGCATCATATTCCAATCCATTGACTACTCGGTTGGTAGACTGAAAGATCTGCATCCGGTTCCTTTGTAGTCATATGTGTGAACAGTATCAAACTAGAAGAAACAGGAACTTTTGGCCAGTGCCTTCTTGATACAGTCCTAGACAGGAAAACTTCTGCGTCATTGAATAACAGGTAATTCGAAAATCGGTAGAATTTAGAATCAATAGATCACTGGGTTCTTTCCCAGTGGATGAATGGTCTTCAAGGTTACCTCGTAACCTGAAGGTCTTGTGTTCGATCCCTTTTGGGGACATGGTTGCATGTGCTTCTGAAGAGCCCCAAACAAGGACGAAGTGACTATCTAGTACTCTCTGTTGTCTGGCAGTCGTTCTCTAACTGTAATCGATTCACAACCAAACTTAAGATGAAACAAACACTTGAGCATTAGATAAAATTATTTTTGAAGAAAGGCATTCTTAAAATTTTATTTTGTTTTCACAACAACATCTTACAAGTTCATCAAATCATATTAAACAGAATAATTGTTTAGATCTTGATGTGGTTGTGTTCTTTGAGCTGGATAGTTAATTTGTGAAGCTTTCATTGCCCCCGTCACTAGGCAACATCTTCAGAGCATACTTCAATTTGATGAAGTAAGCTTTTAGATTTCTCCACGAATTTATTAGTCATCTCGCCTGGTAACGTTGAACGTGATTGGTTTTTTTGTTGCGTATTTTCACACCATCTAGGCTACTATTTGTATTGGAATTGATTGTTTTCCTGACCTGAAGTTTGAGTCTTGTGTATCAGGTTTCATTCCTATTGGTTGGTAAATTTTGTCTATCTCTATGTCTCTATTGACTGATGATTCACTGGAATACCACACAGGCTTCTAAAAATTTGAAACGAGCAATAAAGCCTAATAAAGCAGGATTTAATGAATTCATCAAATTTCGGTAGAACTCGTCAACTGAATACTCTGCATACACGGATATATATATACTTTTGAAATTAAATTGGGAGATATAAGACTGATAAGTAAACAAACTACATTGAATTAGTCATGCAGAAAGACAGGTGCGAATGTTTTCCCGATCATGTTCAAAAAGATGAGGAAAGAGAGAGTATGAGAGATCAAAATTAAGAAAAATTGCATTACGCTTCAATTACATCATTTAGATAAACAATTAGTATATATATATATATCCGTGTATGTAGAGTATTCAGCTGAAGAGTTCTACAGAAATTTGATGAATTCATTAAATCCTGTTTTACTAAACGTTATTGCTTGTTTTAAATTCGTATCGGGAAATAAATGTTTTCAATTCTAAAAATTTTCTGCATTCTTGGTGTTTCCTCTGTCTAGTATTTGAACGTTGGTTGTTCCAGTCGAATTGATGTCCGTGGTTGTCTGCATGCAACGAGTGATATGAAGGAGGGGATGTCATGTCTTTTGACGACTAGCTTATGATCACGGATACGAAGACGAAGGGCGTTCTCTTTGGCCAATGCAGTGTTTTTCGCAGTTGTTACAATTTATTTTGTAGATGATGTTGGTGTTATCGTTGTTGAGTCTTTTAAATGACATAGAACTGAGTAAAGTGATTTTGCCGGTTTGTATGTGGCGTCAATTCCTAAAGATTCGCAAATTAACTATCCAGCTCAGAGAACACAACCACATCGAAATAATACACCTGAGCTAGAGTGTTACGTATGCCTAGTCATCGCCTTCCCTGACGGGCAATGTTAGCTGACACAGGGTCAGGCTGGTAAAGAACTAGCGGTGGTCAAACCAAAACATGGCCCCAGTCAATGAAATCTACAACAGTTAGTTTAAGTCACGTAGGAAGGTGAAGACTTCTTGGTTGGAGCCCCCGGGACGGTATAAACCAATGGTTGGAAACAGTTGGTGATATGGCTAAAAATCGTTCTCAATGGCTGGTGCAGATGCACCCACTCCTTGTGACTTATGATTTCCAATGAGACTATATTGTTCTTTCTTATTACTATTCCTTTGTCTCACACCTCTGTTTACTGTCTCTATTATGCATTTCTTCTACTTTCTTCTCTTACATTGTGTGCTATATAAAGTGTGGCGACTTAAACTGCCGCACATCAGTGCAAAGTTCTATGTCAAAAACAGACAGACAGACCTGAGTTAGAAATCTTCTCCGTCTTATCTAGATCACAATTCAATCATATGATTATTGAATTGAATTTTTGATTTTCCCGTCGACTGATTGGACCGAAGTGCTCGGTCTCCTGGCCCAAGTCGTCTAGTGGATGACGCTTTGGAGTTTGAAACTATGGGCACTGGGTTCGAGCCTCGGTGAGAACATCATCATCACTCAGTGAGAAATGCAGGTACATCCAGCTGACGAGTCCCAAATAGGACGAAATGCGCATCCTGGATTCCACTGCTAGCCACCATCCACCAAGTGTATAATCATATAATTCTTATGCAAATTATTCAGTAATGCCTTTTATTGTTATACAGTATACAGCTAAATGTATTTTCATGACAAGCATACATTAAAGTGTTTAATTTTATTTTGCAGACATTTCAGTTAAAACTATTTCTATTTTTCTCTACCTTATTCAGGTATTGAAACCTATCAATTTCAATGGAAAATTCCATGTATCACATGACTGAAATTCTTTGTAACAAGTGGATTCACAAATTCCTGGATTAAAATTAGTCTAAATAAATTTTAAAAAATGTCTGCGCCTATAAAATTCTACCTATTGATAATTATCAGTATTCATCTCAACACTGGATTAAGTATCAATCAAAATGATTTGAATTTTGCCGCTAACTTTACAAAACCAAAGATAATACATTCACCTTCAGATGTATTTTCAACCGATGGAGTGCTAGAATTCACCTGTCAAGCCAGTGGATATCCAAAACCTCAAGTAGTATGGTATGACGCGGATACAGGACAGCAAGTTATTGATCGTGTACCAAGTAGTGGAACAACCTCTGGTATACATGTCAACCAACATTATGGTAAGCTTTTAATCTCAAGTCCTGAAAGAGGTAAATTATATTCATTCTACTGTAATGCATCGAATTCAGCTGGATGGGTGATCAGCCAGCCACCAGTTCGAGGCGGTTCTGCATACATTAGCTCACAATTCCAGCAGATACCTGTAGAGAAAACTGTTCATGAAGGCGATAGAGTTGTAATGGAATGTTCTCCTCCACTGGGTATCCCTGAAGTAAAAGTCTATTGGTTAAAGAATAAACACTTATTTGCAGCTCAAATCGGTGTACAGCCTAAAAATAACTACTCTGTGATAACTGATACAAATTCAAACACTGAAATATCACCTGATGGAAGCCTGCAGATTTCTTCTGTTACAATTCGTGATACAGGGACATACACTTGTGTGGCATCTAATCTAGCTGGTGAACAAATCTCTCCTTCAGCTTACCTGTTGGTCAAAACTAGAACACGTTTTCTTGAGACTCCAGTTGATGTAAGAGTTAAGAAAGGACGTGATGTAAAGTTGAGATGCAGAGTTGAAGGAAATCAGGTAGTTAAGTGGAAAAGAGGTCATGGAGAAGATCCAATAGATCCGAATAGAGCTGAATTGACAGAAAATTATCTGCTTATCAAGAATATCCAAGTTTCAGATGCTGGTACATATATTTGCACAGCGCCTGGTGGTGTTGAAGCTGATGCTATAGTTACAGTCGATTCGCCGCCTGCATTCTCTGTTACTCCAGATGACTTAACTGTTAACGAAGGAGAGATAGCTGTTTTTCATTGTGTTGCTACAGGGTATCCAATGCCAGCAATTTACTGGGAGCTACCAGACAAAACTCCTATTTTTCCTGGTGATCAAACTGTACACGAATTTCATAATGGCAAGCATTACCTAACCCCTGACGGCACATTAGAAGTCAGAGATGTTAAACAAAGCGATTCTGGAAAGTATCAGTGCACTGCTCACTCATCCATTGATACAATCCATACTAGTGCAGTGCTTCATGTGACCGGTTTAGTTAAGAAAAAGTTGGCTCCATCGAAAAACACCTATTCTTCTCCATCTGAAAACCAAGAAAAGCACCAACCTTTGTCAAACTTTTATTGGTTGGCACCTATAATTGGCCTACCACCAGCAAATCAAACTCGAAGAGTTGGTGATATAGTCACTTTGCACTGTGAATTAGGGATGACAAAAGATTTTCCAGGGTCATTACCGCCAACTTCTCATTATTCTGAATTATCTGATTGGTCTATCGGATGGTATAGATCTACTAAAGATGGGTCAGTAAAGGAATACATGGATTCTTCCAGTTTTTCTAATGATCGACGTTACACACTGCTTCCTGGAGGTAGTCTGCAGATTATAGATGTGCAAGAAGAAGACTCCGGAAACTACACATGTTTTGCTAAAGCAGTTATTAAACCATACACGGACGATCATTTAACATCTTTCACTCTACAGTCTAACTGGACGTCACACTTGAATATCGTTCCCCTAGGATCAATGGTCAGTAATTCTATAGGCAGTGAAAACCCTCTTCCCCAACCACGAAATTTGAGAGCTACAAATGTCACGGCATCAACTGTCATACTTGTCTGGGAGCCATCATTACCACCAATTCATTCGCAAGAATTCAGTAAAGGATATTCTCCTCAGATTACATATTGGGTAGAACTCTACAGACCTGATCGACCAGCAGATGGATGGGTAGTGGTTGAACAAAACTGGCATGCACATACTGTCCAGCTAGGAGGCTTACAGCCGGATACCGCCTATTATTTTCTCATCAGACCTCGATGGGACCAAGGGAGAGTTGGTTGGGCAAGTGCTCCTCTAGGGCCGATTTTAACATTGAAGGAAAAAACGGTGATGCCAGAATCAGGAGAATTATCAGATGCAGAATATTTTCAGTCAGTTAAAGACATCAATTTACTGGGACTACATTTATATCCTCTTTCAACCAAAAGGGTAAGAGTTAGTTGGTCAATAACAGAAATTCCTCAAGTTCTGTCGAAAGTAACGGGTTACTCTATTTATTCCAAAGAAGTTCCGTTAATGCAGTGTATTTCAACTAAGTTCGACCCTACTTATTCGGAAACAGTTGAAGTTGCAACAAGAAATAAAGGCGATATGTACTGTAGCCTACAACCTAACAGTCCAACTGACTCATATTCACTTTATAAAAAGTTGGAGAATATGCAAAACCTCTATACAACAAATCAGAATTCAACAGCAAATTCTTGGACAGTGAATGATATCAAGGCTCGTTATCCTAAAAATGAAAAGTACAGTGAAATTCAACATCCTGTTACATATCAAGAATCAGGTCTTCTACGTGATCTTGAAGCCTTTAGGTGTTATTCAGTCAAGGTAAAAGCGTATTCATTGAATTCAATTATGGGGAGAATTGAAAGTAGCGAAAGTAATTCTGTTACAGTTTTAACTTACGAAAGTTTCCCTAGCTCACCACCGGAAAGAATATTCGCTGTATGGTTATCTAATACAACCATAGAATTATCATGGGAACCACCACATGTAAATAGCTGGAATGGTCTATTGACTGGCTACATAATTTATGTATACGACGAAGATGCAAGCAATCATAAAAGCTTTAATCTGTCTTACACAGAACAAAAAACTTTAATCAAAGGACTAACTGGTAAGACGACATATTTTCTACAAATGGCTGCAGTCACTTGCAAGGGAATTGGTGTACGAAGTGTACCTATTCAATTAAGACCTAATTTACGCAAGAAAGGTTTGGGCGTTGGCTGGGGCTTCGATTTACAAACCGGTAAGCTATTGCAGTTCATGAATCTTGATAAAAAAATGACAACAAATCCAATGATGTTATTGGTCGACCCTGGTTTATTGTAACAATTATTTGCAGCCTACTAGTATGGTGTGCTACAGTTGCCCTCATAACATTCTGCTGTAGACATCAACGCTACAGATTTCGTAAATCAGCGGGTAATGTTCATGTCACACCGAATTCTCAACGTGGTCTAGTTACAGACGGTTCTAACAATATTTTCTCAAGCACTAACAATCCAGGAACTGAAAGCAAATGTTCCAAGAATTCACATCCATCTAAAAAAGATCAGGTTCAGATGGAACCTCTGTTAAGACCAGAATCACCAACTAATGAAAATGATAATAGTTTTGAGTCTATGGAAACAGGGAAATATCCTGGATGGCGACCATATCCTTCAAATACTCAAAATCAAAGTCATTATAGTATTAATACTAATAATCGCGACAGTGGATCACGGATCCTAAGTTAGACTCATGTAATCCAAGTATGCTGGCATTATCCGTTTCCCCATGTACTTCAAATGGACCAGATCACATAGGATTATATGCAACAGCTGAAAATTTAACACATAATACATTAAATACAATGAATAGTAACCAGAATATTCAGCCTAATCGAATGCAAACAAGCCATTTTATTTTCCAAGGAGCAACTCCACTTCTACATGTTCCTAATGGATGTAATTCTCGTTCATCGTATTTAAACTATCAGCATCATTTAATTCCACAGTCTCAAATGAATACCACGTTGCCTAATACATATAACAATTTTGAGCAATCATTTTTACCTGGAGTACGGTTAGGCTCATCTGGATTGCCTTTAGTTGCACCAGTAGCTCAAATCGACAGTTTGAAATACAACAACAACAACACCAACACCACCAGTAACAGCAATAACAATAACAGTGAACCAATATTATCTTCAGATCGTATCAATGGTTTCAATGGGCCATCACTGACAGTAGCACCATATGCAACTGCCTCGATTATTCAAAATGCTGTGAATAATATGAATAGTACACATGCAAAGAAAAGTTGTACTTCACCGATATTTTATACACCGAACAATGCTTTATTTAGTGAAAATGCTAAATCATCAAGTGAATTCACTTATGAATTAGACGAAGGTATAACTCCAACATCTATGACTACAACAAATCAAAATATTGACACTTCTAAGTATAATTTACAAATACAACATTTACAAACTCCACAAATGTTGTACACAGACTATGCAAATGGATGTTCTCGTACTAATAATATTGTTGATGAAGAGAATGATATGAACTCTGAATTTTCATCGTCTGGTCATAGAGAACTTGGTGAAGTCTTACAAAGACATGATTTTAGAAATAAATCAAGCTCTGCAACATCTAGTAGTATTAATAATGATGAGGATAGATCTTATAAATGGAATAAGACAACAAGTGATACACTTTCATCGGATTTTATTATTGTTAGTAAGTTACCTACAACAGCAACAACTACAGCAAGTTCAAACAACTCAAACCATGTGAAACAAAATAACTCAAAGGTAATCACAACGTCATATCAACCGCATCAAAGTTTGCATACACCTAAAAGTGAAACAATCGATGCTAATATGTATCCTTATGAAAATCGATGTATGATTCCTCCACCTCCAGAATCACCTCCTCCACCATCACCTAAGTATAACCATGATGAAAATCATAATATTAATAATAACTGTTCAACGATAGAAAACGGTGAACATTATGAACTGACATCAGAGTTCTCTTCGACCTCATCATCATCATCATCTCATTCACCCTATCCACCGAATCTAACATCTAATGAAATAAAACACTCGACGCCTAAGTATACAATAGCGAAGACAAAACACGAAGAACCTGAGCAAAACTCCAAATTTTCTAGTACTACTACTGGCAATATAAAAAATTCACATTTCAACAATAATTCTCATACACACGATCAACATGCCTATTATTCGAAATTTACTAGCAGTGAAGTAGAAGACGAAGAAGTCGACAGTGATGCTAATCATCTTAAAATTACGGAACATGAAGAAAGAATACCAAATTCGAAGAATAGCTTTAACGAATCGAAACACCATTTCAACTCATCGAACCATCAACATTATTCAAGAAATCCACCAATATGTACCACAGAGAAACAATCAGTTCTACAAAGACCAGTAATGTTATTAAGTGAGCATAACTTATCAAATTCTCCGCAATCATCATTTTGTATGTCTTTAAGCCCTGAAGAACACTCTAGTTCGACGTATGCTCAAGTATATTAAACATAACATAATATATTGGAAAGAAGGATATCTATGCTTGTGATTATACATTCCAGTCTTTTGATTAGTGTGATATTATAACTATCACTATAACTACTCTTAATAGTAATAATAATAATAATAACAATTTCTTATCCTAATTCTCAACTTTATTAGAAATATGAGAATTCTGTTGATTTCTGTTTCTCAATACACTAAGGCATTAATAATTAGTATCATTATTATCTTTAAAATATTTGCTTTCAAACAGTATGATTCACACTACTTGAGTTGTAATTGTCATAGAAATAGGAATAACAGGTGCGCGCTTACTACTGTGAATTACGCACTGACTACAAACCTGTAATACATCGAGCTTGTGCTTACCGCTTCATCTTCTCTTGTCTCCGTCTTCGTTTTTCTGCTTCTTTACAGACACTGTGTGTGTGGACTACATTGGTTCACCCTTTCAGTATCTTGTATTTATGCATATGTAAATCTAATTTCACCAAGCTCACTTTTCCCCACTTATACTTACTAATGTAATATCTCTACAATTATCTAATAGTTTTTTATTTCCAATCATCTGTTCGCCGACGGACTAGTTAGTGTGGGGTTTCTTTTTTTTCATTCGATTTTGTCAACTTTGCACAGTACTGTATTTTCACAACGTAGGTTGTTTTAACTGAATGATAAACTGATTTTTGTAGGAAGGACACTCATCCCTTCCTGTCTGCCATACGCAGTCCTTGAATCACCAATGTGAATACTAATGAATGAATGAATGAATGAATCGACGATACTAAGGAAAACAATGGGATTATTCTCAATAAACATTATCGCCTACCTTAACAGTAGTGTATACACACATGAACACACAAATATACATAGTTTGTGTGTATGACTATGTGCAAACAACATCCCTGTTACAACAGAAATGCATTTTAACACTGTACATACGACAGAACAGTAATAATAATAAAAGAAAAGTATGTTTGTATTAATGTAAAGAAGAATATGTAAATTAGGCAGAACAGTTGTTTCACTTTTCTTAGTCCTACTTTATTCCGCTTCATAAAGCATCGAAACGCAATTACTCTTTTGAATGCCAGATGTACCATAGTCAGAGACTTCCTGTGTTATTGTTTCTTTCTTCGTCGCTTCTCTTTCTCCCTCCCATTTCTTCATCCTGTCTGTAAGGCCTCCTCTCTGCCCCCCCCTCGCTCTCTACATCTCTTATTGTTGTGAAGTTCTACCGCTTGATTTAGTCGTCTTCATTTTATCTGCTTACTTACTGTGTTCGCCTTTCTTGTGTATTAGGTAAGATGAATTTCTCACATTATATTCTTCATTTTTTGGTCGTTTTATTAGGGATTTATTGAGAAACTACACTTTTGTACACAATTAATAGGTGAGGTTTTTACAAAAAAAAATTCAATTATACATTATCTCTCTGTGTCATTTAATTACGTCTTTATTTTCCCATTTTTAATCGTCTGTTGATATGTAGTTGTTGTTGAATTAATGCTTTACCTAAAAGTATGTATGTCTACAAAATGACAGAGATCAGGTGAAAGCTATTGCCAACATTTATAATTTTGTACAGAAGATTTCAGTTTAATACATGATTTAATAAAATATAACACTTTTCCTTCTATCCGGTTTAAATTCCGAAAAGATACTTCTTTAAAGTGATTGTAAAAATGAGTCAAGAAAGTTTTTTTAAAAATGTGTTTATTATTGTTCCGTTGGGTTTTGAGTGGAAAATATGGCTTCGACAGCACATCTCCATTTTGTCCTATTCTCTCGGGTCCTGTTTGACCAGATTCTCTTTCTGTCTGGTGTCAACATAGAACTTTGCACCTGTCTGCAGCAGTTCGAGTCGCTACATTTCACTCAGTATACAGAGCAAAAGGAGAAAGTAAAAAGAAACCCGAAATAGAGACAATAAACAGAGATATGAGGCAAAAAGAATAGTAATATCGAAGAACAGTATAGTTTCATTGGATATTATAAGTCACAAGGAGTGGACGCATCCGCGCCAGCTATCGAGGGAGATTTTACGCCATATCACTGATTGTCTCCAGCCTTCATTGGTTTTTATCATCCCGGCGACCCCAACCAGAAAGTCTACATCTTTCTACGTGGCTTAAACTAACTGTTTTGGATTTCATTGACTGACAAAGTCATGTTTTAGTCTGACCCCACTGGTTTTTTTCCAACCTTACCCTATGTCAGTTAACATCGCCTATCGAGGAAGGTGATGGCTAGGCATTAGTGGATCCGCAGTCGCTGATAGCCTTTCATCTTCCTCTAGTACGATCTCCTCTGTGTCACCTGCGGGTCTAGGCACAACTTTTCATTTCACATTCAACTTGGCATGTGGTGTTACTCGATGGTCTCGTCAGCATGTTATTGATCTATCTCTATTTGCCTGAGTATAAATGTTAAACATTACGTCGTTAGTTAGTTGTTACCAGAGTTCCTATTTGCCAATCCTTTCTGACCAGCCTTCTGATCCTCACTATGAACCCAATAAAGACAACATGTTAGAAATGCTTTGCGTGATGCGCCAAGTGTCTCAACTATATTGAAGAACTGACTTATTACCGTTGTTGAAAATCCGACTCTAGTTCTTTATGCTGAGTGGATGAGGATTCCAAGGTGATTTCAGGGTGATGAAAGTGTAACTCGCCTTTCCGACTCTGGCTGGCTTTGACATCCTTACCTGTGCTGTCGCCTGCAGCTGAAACTATACCGCCTGGATAAGCGAAGGAAGTAACTATTTTAAAATTTTTCCTTTAATATTGATCTGTGCCCACTGTATTTGATTGGTTGGTTATCTCCATCAACTCTGCCTTCTGCACGTTCACTTGAAGTCCTATCTTTGCTGCTGCTACTACTGTAAACTTGTTTGAATTTCGCCTGTGGATCTTTGAGTGCGCGTGACATAGACATACATCATCAGGGAAATCCAGATCTTCTAGAGATCTTCTAGTGAATATATATTATCTCATATATGAAATGAATACTTTATTTAAGTAAATTCAGGTTATGTAAGAGTGGTTTCAGGGAATGATCGATTGTTCAGAAAAATGACAAAATTCTTCCGGACACAAAGGCACTTGATATTCTTGAGTGGCTGAACATTCAAAAACTACAATGTTAAATAAATATTCTTTACACCCAAGGGTAGTCACTTGCTGATTCCACTTAAGTTTTCAGGCTTAACCAATTCAAAAAGTGAAGAAAGTCTAAATGAGCTTCAAATGTAATGTGTGTATCCTCTACAAGAGTTGAATATGCTTTTAATTGATCGAAAAGACCAGAGTGTACTATGTTACACGATGCTGAGACCCTAAAGTAAGAATTCAGTTACCCCATGGTACACGAAGATTACCCTGCCGCGTTAAAAACTATTATTCAAAGGTTACAATTCTAATTTACTCCTCAAAAGAGGGAATATGATACAATTTTCACATCTTTCAAAAAGATATCTGAAGCTTATGCTTAGAATAAGTCATATTATTGATACATCTAAAAATGATATCCACATATGTTTTAAAAGCATAGGCATCGCATGTTCGAAAGATTATAAAGGTAGCGTTAAAATTTCGTTAAACCTTTGCCGTTCTATCCAGTTAAAAATTAATAACTTAATGGACTTACTATGGGGTATAGTTGGTTTTTCCAAAGTAAACTATTTGATTTCAGGATTTCATCATGAGCTGACATTAGATACAGAACCATTAGAAAACCTGGGAGTACTAAACTGTTGTTTCGTCCTAGTTTGGGAATCTTCATTAGTACGCACCCATCCACCGGGGTTCTAACCCACGACTTTCTGGTTACAAGGCAAGCTCGTATACCATTAAGCAACTGGAACTATTTGAATTATAAATTACCAACTTCGAGTGAGTGAAAAATGAAAATATTTGAATTATCTTGTTTTAGTCTTCTGCTGGTATGCCAGTACTCGAAAATTCCTGTGTTTATAGATGGAAACAATCCCTCAACTTTCCTACATGGTTTTCAATAGTGAAATGTGCTACGAATCGGTAGAAGTTAGAATTCATGGGCCGCTGAATCGGTTCCCAGTGGCTGAATGGTATCCAAGCCTGCCTTGTAGCCGGAAGGCCCTGGGTTCAAACCCCAGTGGGTGTGTACTGCCGATGATTTCCAAACTGGGATGAGACAGCTGCCCAGTACACCCTGGGCGGTTCTGTGACTGATTTAATCCGTGGTCAGCCTCGCACAAAGAAATGTCTTACGTTACGTCGTTGAAAACAATCGGTAGGGGGTCACGCACATAAGTTTCGTGCTTGATGGCACTCATCAACACAGTGAACCTGTAACGTTGAGCAAAATGATATCCTCTTGAGGAGTTAAAACCGTCTCACTCAGTGTTACTGTCAGAGGTATGACCAAAGAACTATTCGGAATGAAACCTGACCTCCTATAGAACTGCAATAGATACATAAATCGGTCACCTAGGTGTGAATAATGCCATGCGTATATTCTTTGCTGTTAGCAGCGACTAACTGTCAGTGTATTTAAGCCACGGTTAGTCTACAAGTGAAAAAAGTCTCTATACGTTAGCATTCATACCTCATGTTTTAATAATAATGATATTAATGACTTCACTACAGGCAGTACATCTGATACAATATGGAATTTTTAGCATGTAACACAATACTGCATAGTAAAAAGGTACTTAAATTGTTGATGTCAATAAGAATATGAGTGTAGAGTTAAAATTAAGTAGAAATAAGAACAAGTATATAGTAATGCTAGAAAGAATAAAAAGGACCGTTTATTTACTGTTTCGCACCAAATCAGTAGTTTCAAGCTTAACACTTTCTTGTCACATATAAAATGCCTACAAAATAAGATATCGTTGAGGTTCCATACTTAGTCGTTCGAGAATAAAGTTTTGTATAATTGGTTAAAACGGTTTGCTGAAATTTTCGAAAAAATTGTTACTGAATAAAGAATATTCTTTTCGATAACTTCCTTATCATCAGTTTCTACAGTTATGTATACATAATAGGGAATGAGTGAATTAGTGTTATTAACATCATTAATGTTGTTTAAATAATGTCGAATCAATGGTATCAACAGATTATAGTTCAGTAGCATCAACATAACGATACACTGAATATCGGAATAATTGGAAGAGATAATAATACACATTCGTGAAGTTATAGTCTCCACTGAAGCCTGGCCAGGGCATTAGTATAGGTTAAGTAAAGGTGTAGCAAAAAACATCAACAGTAAGACATAAGACCAACTGGTCCAAACTAGCCACAATGCTAGCCAACAATGAAGAATCCTTCTCTATTATCTACTGGCTACTATATAAATTGCCAAAAACATCCAGGTACCACATACTCCAAACAGTTCATGTAGGTCATGCTTGTATCTAAAGGTGAAATTAACGATCTAAGATTTACAGGGACATAGATAAAGATCATTTGAAAATGACCACCGATTAATTTCTGATGAAATATTGTTCATTTTGAAACAATCTGAGTGAGATATTACCAACATGGAGACAGTCAGAACATTAACATAGTTAACGAAAGTAGTATCATCAGAGTGAGTCAAGTAATGTGAGGAGAAAGAACAGTATCTTCAGTGACGCCGACTACAGTAAGTAAGGCAGTGGAAAACCTCCCTCTATATACAAACCTTACCGCTTTATATCAGAAAATTAAAAATGCAGCCACCAAAGAAATTCGCTAGGGGTCACGCTACGTCGTGAATTGGCAGAAGTTAGATCTCATGGGCCATTAGATCAGGTCCCAGTGGCTGAATGGTATACCAGCTCGCCTTGTAACCAGAAGATCCTTGGTTCGAATCCCAGTGGGTGCGTACTGCCGATGATTCCCAAACTAGGATGAAACAGCAGCTGTCCAGTACTCCCTGGTTTTCAGAGGGTTAAAGGGAAGAAGCACTTTTTGTGAGAAGAAGAGTTATTAATCTAAGTTTGGCCTCGGTAAGAACAGCGTCTAGACGTTTTTTTTGGATACAAGTTTCCGGTCTACTTGATCTGATTGCGATAGCTTCAGCTATGTGTAGGAGACGTAAGCGAACTTTGTTTTCTTCTTTGATTACTATTACAATTATTTTCATTCAAAATAATTAGTCCCTTCCATAACTTTGGATGGTGTTATTAGAAGACGGAGACTATCTGAAAAATGAGTGGTGTTTGCGGCATACATTTGGAACAATCTGATTATCCTAATTTATATCTTTCATTCGAGAGAATTTCTCAATACTATCCGATTTTCCATTCAAACATTACGGACTTATTATTAGTGATATGATCTCTTTTCTCAGTATATGCCTCCACCTGTTTCATTTCATATATTGGTTGTTTCATGATGAACGTCTCGTTGCCGTCCT